TTTAGTATAATTATTTATTTATATTATACTCATATTCAATTAAATTAATGATCTTTGTGCTATAGTTCAGGTTTAATGCTCATTAAGAATTAGAAAATAGATCCTAAAAAATTTTCTATTTTTGAATTTTGAAAATTAAAAATGAAGGATATCTATTTGCATTTCTTTGAATATCTAAAAGGAAAATCAAATTGAAATTTTCAGTCTTAACCTTCAAGCTTTAATAATGGATTTTCAAAATAATTAATTTAATACTGTTAGTAATTTGTTGATTTCGTATAAAAATGCACTGAAGAATATGAAATTATAACTATATTCAAAAATGGATAAATGGGAATATTATCTTGCCTGGTATTAAATAATGAGATGAAAATCCTGTTCTTATTCTTTTTTATCAAATAATTTAATGAATATATGCAAATGAAAGAATTAATTATCTTGGAAAATAATGAGTATAAGAAAAATACTTAATATATCTTACTAGCCTTACTTAATAAGTAAATCTAACTTAGGCAATAATTAGCCAACATCAAAAAAACTTATCAGATTCTAAGGAACTCTAAAAGCTTTATTCAACAATTTGTTTTATCTTGTACCACTAAAAATCAATTTAAGGAGCAGGAAATTAAAAAATGAAAGTTATATAATAAAAAATAATGATAAATTGAATAAATTTAAACAAATCCTTCTTCATAATAATTATTATTAATAATTAAAAGTATTCAAATTTTTTAAAGTAAAACTAAGATAATAATAGTAATAAATTATTGTAAATTAAGGAGATGCCTTGTAATTGGAAACTAATTTAAATAAAAATATCTCATTTGATATGTAATTATAATAATAAGACTTATGGACTTAGAGAATTTCCAAAAAAAATAAACTAAACAAACCGAAATTTATGAATGCTACTTTATTTTAGTTGATAATCGCTAGAATAACTAAATAAACCTAGTAATGAAGAATTCAAATAAAATAAATATACAAATGGGAGAAAGAAAAAAGTCAAAGTTAAAAATTAATTATTTGACATCATAATGAACTTAAACATTTCTTAAAGTCTTCCAAACTCATTCTCGTTATAGCTTATGACTAAACTAATTGATTCATGTAAGGTATTTAAATACTCTTGCAATCCTTATACATAATTTTAACAATTCTTTCATTTTTCTACATGAGCTCAGTTTGAAAACTTAGACAATTTCAGAAATGAATCATTAGTCATTTTAAAAACTACCTTATGCATTAAAAAGAGTTTTATTCGTTTGAAAATGATGAGAAAGATCACCCAACGATTTTATCTTAATATCAAATTTTTAATATTGTTATTAATAACAAAAATTAAAATTAAACCAAAACTATATTAATTATATTTTTTGTATAAAA